CTGCCCACCTTGAACAGTGTATCTCTGATTGAAAACGCATGCACATCCACATTCTGAGGTTTTCTTGTGGGACCAGAGACATTCCTTTGCATCTGGACCCCGTATACCACGCCCTCAGCCCCATTTGAGGTCTCCACAGGAGGAGTTTGGGAGTGGAAGTGAAAGTGTAGATATATGCATACACAGTGATTCTCATTTGTTTGTTACTCGTGTCCCCATTGTGTGCAGTTGTCCCAGCCACACCTCCATCTGCCCTTGGCATTTTTACATTTCCTCCTTTGCTGGCTACCTTGAGGCTTCCGCAGGCTTTCAGCTCTGCTTTTGTGTGATCACCCTTTCCTTTAGGCCTCTACTTCATGGGTTTGTGTGCAATTGGGACATTAGGTGTTTTTTTGTTTTTTTTTTTTTTACAAAGCAACAGGCATAGACAGGCCAGGAAAAGGATCATCTGGGAAGAGGAGCAGGTGGAAGTGTGTGTTGCTTCAGGACATGCCTGTTGGGACCTGGTCTTAGACACATGCATGAGCCATTGAGGCGGAGGCGTGGAGGAAGTAAAATGAGGCAGAGACCACCTGTATCGCAATGGCTGGCACAGTATTGATTTTTCTCTGTGCCTGGCACGACCCTGTTGTCATCACTCACTCCTTGGCTGATGGGATTTACTAGACATTCTACACCCAGAGGGGGTTGAGCAGGGTCAAGGTGAAATGCAGGGCCAGCAGCTTGCTGCTGTTGTGTTTGTTCTGGGTGCTGTGTGGACTGTACTTCAGCAGGGTTGGAAGCATGTGTCATGTGTCATGTGGAAGCATGGGGCCAGTCTCCACAGGGAGACTGTGTAAGAAGATGCTTCTATGGTGGCAGATCTTGAGACTTCCTTCCTCTGGCTCTTGCTTCTCCCCTGACTTGTCCCTCCATGCCCTTGGTGTTTGTTGGCCTGAAGATGGAGGAGGCTGTGGCCACTGCACACCTGACTCAGAACACTCCTCCCTTGGGCAGGAAGTTGCCTAAGAGTGTGCACCTTCCTCCCATATCCACAAGCCCTGGCCCCAGGGATCGCATGTGGCTGCAGGAGTTAGGGGCTCCCAAACAGGTCCCTCCCACACGTGTCCTTCCCACACTGTTCCTCCCACATACATCCATCCCAATGTGTGTTCCTCCTTCATGGATCCCTCCCACACGTGTCCCTCCCAATGCTTATTCCTCCCTCATGGATCCCTCCCACATATTCCCTCCTATGTCATTTCTCCCACATGTCATTCCCATGTGTGTCCTTCTGACACACGTCTCTCCCACACATGTCCTTCACGTGTGCCCCTCCTATGTGTGTCTCGCCCACACATGTGTATCTACTCCCATACCTCATGTAAATCCTATGCGCATGTTTTGGGGAATGTTCCAGTGACTTCATAACTACAACTGATGTCCATAAACCTCCCACGAAAGAACTTTGAAGAGTTCCTGTGGAGATTTTGGAAGGCATCAGTTCACACTCTTCCACTTAACCCTGGAATCTCAGTGAATCCCACTCTTATAAACTGGCCCAGGCTGATGCTGAGGAATACAGTGGTGACAAAAACTCCTTGAGCCATGGAACTTAGGTTCCTTGGGTGGAGGGACCCTACTAGGAAAGGACTTGTATGATAAGAGATGCTCATGGGAATGACATGTGTGGTCAAGACACACATGGCGGGAGCCTTGCATGAGGGGACGTGTATGGAGGAAATAAAGGCACTGTAGAGGAGAGACGGGCCTAAGGGAGAATGTGTTTCAGGTAGGATGAGCTAGGCCTGGTAGAAACAGGAGCCCAGAGGACAAGCAGAGCGACAGCCTGGTGTGCAGATGCAGCCTGCTGTTGGCATTGTACCACAGTGTGTGTAGGCTGCTCAGGAGACTGTGAACACACTACCTCAGTCCGCTGTTGGTGACTGCCCGGAGTGTGTGTAGGCTGCTGAGGAGGCTGTAAACACCCAACCTCAGCCCGCTGTTGGCAACTGCACCACAATGTGTAGGCTGCTGAGGAGGCTGTGGGCGCAGCACCTCAGCCTGCTGTTGGCGACTGCCCGCAGTGTGTGTAGGCTGCTCCCGAGGCTGTGAGCGCACCACCTCAGTCCACTGTTGGTGACTGTACCACAGTGTGTGGCCCTGGCGGAGCCCAGAACCCTGCGAGCTGAGGTGTGACATGCTTTGAGGTTGTTGTTTGTTTGTTTAACAAAACCACAGCATGAAGGAGTTAGCGGCCAGTGCCAGATGGCTCTAAGGGACTCTTCGCAGGCCCCAGCTTGTAACAAGGTTTCCTGCACCTTGGCTTGCTTGAGGAAGTGGTGCAGGTCATTCTGCCTCTCACTTACAAATGAGGAAATCTAGGTCAGTGGGAGTTGGTGATTGGCCTGACGTCCCACAGCGAAGGAGCTGTGATGCCAGCATTGTTGGTGCAGGGCTGGGGAACCTGTTGAGTATTTTCAGCATCATTTGGGGGACCGTATGTATTATCACCATAGAACTTAGCCCACTGTAGCTATAGTGAATTTTGACTCCTGCCTGCAATTGCCTCAGCAGGCAGGCTTTTGGGGTCTCAATGCCAGTTTGACGAACAGTTTCTTATCAAAGCTAAGTCTCCAAAATAGTGTGCAACCAGGGATGCTGGAGTAGGGTTACTGGTGTTGGAATCCACCCAGGATGTAGGGACCAGTGTGCCCCAACCTGTCCTTTGAGCCTGGAGGATGGCACTCCCCATCCTGGGAAGTCGCGGCATGGCGCTCGTTTCAGCCTGCATCTTCCCCTGTGGGGAAGGATACCGAGCTAAGGACACCCTGGCAGAAGAAAACGCTTCCATCATATCCAAGCGAAAGCTGTGTTTGCCTCCCTGGAGCTGGGCCTCACCCAGCCTCAGACCCTCACAGTCTGCAGCAAGAGAGGGAAATCAGGCTGTACTCCTCAAAGTCTTGCCAAGGCTCTCTCCCTGCCCTCTCGCCCTATCTGGGTCATTCCTCCAGGATGAGGTGAGGCCACCAGAAGTAACGGAGCAGAGAGAACCCTGGGGGACTGGTGTCCTGTCACCTGTTGCTGCTGTCCTGCAGTCTGCCAGATGTTGATGGGCAGATTCTCCTAAGGATCACATGTCCTGGTCTCCTCACTGTGCACTCTCTCCAGGTCTGCTAGGGCCCTGGCTCATTTCCATGACAAGAAGGTCAGTCTGGTTCTGGGGTTGTCAGGCTGGGGGAAGTCTGGGATCCTCATGAGGTTTGTTCCTTGCCAACCCTCCTGTGGTTTTTCATGGGTAGAGCCAGGTTTAGATCTCTTCGCTATGCCCGATACTTCAGAAAGATTGAGGGGGAAGGTGGATGTTCTTAAGATGCCGGTTAAGGGGCAGGTGTGTGGTACAGCAGTCATACCACCTCCTAAGCCACCCACATGCCCTGTCAAAGTGCCTGGCTTGAGTCCCACCTCCTTCATTCCTGATCAGTTTCCTGTTCATACAGACTTTGGAGGCAGCAGCAGGTGATGGCTCAAGCATTTGGGTCCCTCTGCTGCCACCCATGTGACAGATCCGAGTCGAATTCCAACCTGGTCCAGCCCTGCCTCTTATAGGCGTGTGTGTGTGTGTGTGTGTGTGTGTGGTGGGGAGCGGGGAAGGGCAGTGAACCAGCAGATGGAAGCTGTCTTTTCATTTGCCTTTTTCGTCTGTCTTCCAAATAAAAATGAAAATTAATAAATAAGAATTTTAGAAGATGTCGATCAAGATACCATGTGCCCGCCCACCTTGATGTTCCTGGGTTCAAGTCCCAGCTCTGCTCCTGGCTCCACCACCCCATGGTAGGCACAGGGATGGTTTAAGTAAATGGGTCACTGCCATCCATGTGTGTGATCTGGATTCATTTTGGGGCTCCCAGCTTGGGCCTGGCTCGACCCCAGCTGTGGTAGGTATTTGGGAAGTCAACCAGCAGAGGAATCCTTTTTCTCCCTCTCTCTGCCTTTCATAGAAAACAAAAACAAAACAAAACAAAAAAACCACAAACAACAACAACAAAAAATCCCCACTAAATTTGGAGCTGCTGTATTATTGACTTTAGCTGCCCTCAAATTTGTCCTTGGACAAGTGTTTTTGTTTTTTTTTTTAAAGATTTATTTTATTTTTATTGGAAAAGCAGATATACAGAGAGGAGGAGAGACAGAGAGGAAGATCTTCCATCTGATGATTCACTCCCCAAGTGAGTGCAACGGCCAATGCTATGCCAATCCGAAGCCAGGAGCTTCGTCCGGGTCTCCCTCGCGGGTGCAGGGTCCAAAGCTTTGGGCCGTCCTCGACTGCTTTCCCAGGCCACAGGCAGGGAGCTGGATGGGAAGCGGGGCTGCCGGGATTAGCACAGGCGCCCACATGGGATCCCGGGCGTGCAAGGCGAGGACCTTAACCACTAGGCCATTGCGCCGGGCGACAAGTATCTTTGTAGGATGCTAGTGATCTGAGGTCAAAGACTGCTCAGGCTGCACCTGTCCCTCCCCCTTAAGACCCTCCCCAAACCCTCCCCTCGACTCAGTGACTGCTGGCAGTGTCACCTGTCACCTCATGGAGGCTAAAGCCTGGAGGCTCTGGGACATGAAATGACCCAAGACCACCCAGTGTGTAGCTAGGATTCCAGCCTGGATGTGCCGGATGTGCGAGGTCTCACGCTGTTTGCAGGTTTCAGTCAGGGCTAGGGACAGTGAGGATCCCCACGGCTGTGCTGTCCGTGGTAGACCAGAAAGGGCTGAGGGCACATTCCTGGTCCCCATGCAGGGAGTTGGCAGGAGGGGCAAGGCCCACTTTACCCTGCCTTCCTCCCACCCCAGGACTGGCTGAGAGGCACAGATTGTAGCCTACCAGATTTTCTCCCACCTGCCATCTGGCTTCTGTTGTCCCAGTTCACAGGGTAGGCACTAAGGCCCCCCAGAAGTGAAATATTCTGACTTCTGATTCCTTGTGGGTGCAAGTGTGAAGCTGGGATTCTACCTGAGTCTGCACCATGGCCAACCCTGCAGTGGCCTCCCGTGGATCTGGACCCAGAATGTCTCCAATCAGGTCCCATCAAGTGCCTGGCTCACATGCCTTCTCCCTGTGATGACGATCTGCCTGCTGCTGTCAGTACACACTCACAGACCTCTTGCCTGATGCTGTGTTTCCTCCACAGGGTCCTGGGCTCCATCCTGCTGCTTGGGTTCCCGCTTGTCTGCCCACAGCCCTCTACTGACCACAGAAAGGTAAGTAGATGCCTGGAACCTTCATTCTCTGCTGTGGGGCAAGGTCCCTATAGCCAACACTGCCAGCTCTAGTGGGTGGGAGGAGGGAGAGAAGCACTGCTTGGACCAATGTCTGCCCATGTTGCTTCTCCTTGGGCAAGATCATGGGGAAAGATTCCACAGACTTGGGCAGGGCTCAGAGAAGGCACGTTATAAGGGATAGTGGTGGAACAGGGATGTACCAGTATGATGCTTTGGCTCTCTCCAAGGGCACCATAAGGGCAAAGGGAGGGTTCCTGAGAGGAGAAAGCCATGTCTGAAGCTATGCCAGAGGTCTCTTGATGGTCACTGCCAGTGGTGGTCAGGCAGGGAGGAGGATAGGGAGGAAGAACTTGGCCCTTTCTTTCTCTCCACCACATCCAAGGGCCCTCTCTTTGGCTGAACTGACCAACAGACAAGAGACATGAAACCTTGGCTCATTCTGTAGAAACCAGACTCCCAAGTCACCAGAAGAGATGGAGAAGGGTGGATAGGGCATTGGGAAGGGAAGTGAGTGGGCCTCATTAACCAAGCTTCCTCCTAGGCTGTGTGGATCATAGTGGTGACCCATCCAGCCTTGAGCCTCATGCTGTCCTATACAGAGTGAATGGTGCCTGACCAATGCAGTTTTAGAAACAGGTGCAGGATATGACCCTGAGAAAGGCCCCACAACCCCGTTGGCTGTCCAGGAGGCCCTCCGTGAAATTCAGTCTCCTGAGAGGAAGGTAGATGCTTGCTCCTCGGTGCGATGGAGTCGGTCCGGTCCCATCCTGGGTGAGGAGCTCCCAGAAGGGGGGGTGGCTGAGAAGACAATCGCTTGGATTTTGCTGCCAGGAGTCCTTCCTGGGAGCATTCTTGGCATTCTGGTCCAATGCGTCTTCTGTTTCTTTTTCCATGGGTGTTTTCCCCACTGCTTCTGGACCCATGTGCGTCTCTGCTGTACTGTATGCCCTACTCAACCATCTGCTCTGTGAGTGTGGGGTCTTCCCAGTACTGCCACATTCCCAGCTCTGGAACCTGGTGTGCGACATGGTGAAAACACTTGTGGCATGTCTGGCAGGCAGAGTGCAAGCCTGGCTAACACCTGAGCATCCTTTTGTTGGGTTTGCTTGGAGAGTTACTCCTAGCTTGTCCGCATATCAAGAGAGACTGCTTCGTGTCTACCTTATGGCAATGGTAGCAGTTATTTCTGACTAGTGCAGTCACAGTGTTGATTCTAATAAGCAGTGCCTCCCACCTGCTAGCCACCACCTTCTCGCTCAAGTGGTTACTGTACTAGGAACTGAAGCAGTTTTACAGGTGACTGTGTTGCTTTGGTTCTCCCTGATTTTTTTTTTCAAGCTACACTGGCAGGTCCCTACCTTCCTCTTTCTTTCTTTTCTTTTTTTTTTTTAAACTAGATTTACTTTATTTTTATTGGAAAGTTAGATATACAGAGAGGAGGAGAGACAGAAAGGAAGATCTTTCATCTGTTGATTCACTCCCCAAACAGCCACAATGGCTGGGATTGCTCCGATCCGAAGCCAGGAGCTCGGAGTCTCTTTTGGATCTCCTGTGCAGATGCAGGGTCCCAAGTCTTTGGGTCATCCTTGACTGCTTTCCCAGGCCACAAGCAGTGTGCTCGATGGGAAGCCAGGCCACTGAAATTAGAACTGGCACCCATGTGGGCACGTCCAAGGTGAGGACTTTAGCTGTTACACTACTGTGCCAGGCCATATCTTCCTCTTTCTTAAGGTATTCTGAGAAGTGGAGGGAAAGAGGGTTTATGGATTGCTTCACATTGTTGAATTATCAAACTGAGCACAGACTCTCCTGGCTTAGGAGATGGTTATCCCCTCCCCCCCCCCCATTTTATGAAAATATTAAGAACTTAACTGTGGAAAAAGAGATGGCATTTTTAAAATGGTCATTTACGTGGTTCCTAACTTGGAGGATGTGCATCTTAGAATGGTTTTGGGGTATCTCAGACACAGCCCCCAGCATTACTGCTCATGACCCAAGAGAGGGGCGAGGCAGTGTTTGTGTGTGTGTGGTGGGCATCTCTTGGTGCTTCTCCAGGGCTTAGGTGCCCCTGGCTGCCCTCCTGGCCCTGTCTCCCAGACTCTTCCCTTGGCAGTAGAAGCAGTCCCTGAAAATTCAGAAGCAAAGCAGTGCTTGTTAACACCAGGCCAGCAGTTTCTTTTCTTCTGGGGCATTGGAACTCTTTGCAGGTTCTTCAGCTGTAAAGCCCATCACACTGATTCTACGGCCCCAAAGGAAGCCATAGATGAGCTTCATGCATGAGTCTGGCTATGTTCCCAATAAAACCTTCCATTCAAGAATGGGTTTCTGAACTAGGCGTGGCATCCTGTGCTGTGGCTGGGTTAGGAAGGAGTTAAATGTATGTGTGTTTGTCTGTGCAGTGTGTCTCCTCCTGGAACTTTTAAGAAACGCGAAGAATCCGGGAGGGAAGGCGTACATTTTTTTACATGACCGTGTAAGGCTGACAATTGCCATCTAGCTATTTTTCACGACTTCAGTAAATCAGAGTTGAATGGTGGCTGACCCCCAGATCCACTCCCTGTTTTCAGCAGGGAATGGAGGAATTAACAAACCATTTTCAGGGAATTCTGCGGGGACATTAATCTGGGCACGTTGCAGCTCTGTGTGTGGGTAGATGCTGGCTACCAAAGGCACGCCTTTGTTTTCTCATGATGGCGATGGCGTCCAGCTTTAGCATATGGAAGCATTTCTGGAGGGGAGGGTCAGTTACTCTCTGGCAGGGAGACGTCATTTGTATCCTGGTGGCTGGATACAGCTCTGCAGAAACCATCCCATAATAATCAGGAAGACGGAACCCTGGCGAAGAATGGCTCTTTCCAGAAGGGATCCCCTTGCTCCTGCAACCTGAGCAGCGGCCCAAAGCATTGCTCAGCCTCCGTCTGCTCCTGAGACGTGGCAAGCGACCGCATTGCAAAAAAAAAAAGTTTCCTGGGTTTCATTTGTATATAAGGAGGGATAAAGAGCAGGAAAACCCTTGACCAAGTCCTTACTGAAAAGAGTAAAGATATGAGTTAGGGAACTTTTGTAGGCTGCAGGGAGCTTTTCTGTGCCAACCGCCATGCAGGTGGGAATGGGGCCATCCCCTGCTCTACCCGGGAAGGAGCCGCAAGGCATGAGGAGCTCTAAGCTCCTGGGGAAGAAACGACAGACACAGACGTTACAGCTGCTGAACTTTCTTTTGGGTACATGTTTTTATGAAAAGTATGCATGCGTAGAGTTGGAAACTAGAAATAGGAAATAAAAATTCACCCTCAAGGCTCACCAGCCAAAGGGAACTTCACCCTACTGTTTAGAAACTTTTGAGCACAGGGAACAGTGGCACTGCAGGGTGAAGCAAGGGCGGGAGGGTGTTTGTGTTGCTGTCTGATAAGCTGGTCTTGTGGCAGCCAGGAGAGGGCCTCCTGAGGGGGTCAGAGCCACTGTCCCCTCATGCAGTAGTGCCCTGTGCAGCCAAGATGTGGGTGCTTCTTGACAGTGGATATGGAAGTTAAAGCTGCAGAGGAGCACACACAGCTTCAGGCTTCACAAAGCATCTTGTGGTATCACTGCTGCCCTGACAAAGGGGAAAGGAAAGAACAGTCAGGATTTAGGAGAAGGCATTAAGGGAATGTCCTCCTAATGAGAAGTGGACAGATTTCTCTCTTTTTAAAAAAATATTTATGTGAAAGGCACAGGCAGGGTGAGGGGGAGACAGAGAGAGATATAGAGATTTTCCATCTGTTGGTTCACTTGCATGTGGGTTGCAATAGCCAGGGCAGGGCCAGGCTGGAGCCTGAACAGACACAGGACCCAGGAGCTTTGTTTTGCATCTCCCACATGGGTGCAGGGGCCCAAACATTTGGGCTGTCTTCTGCTGCTTTCCCTGACATTTATGAGGGAGCTGGATTAGAAGTGAGCAGCTAAGACCAGTGCCCACGTAGAATGCTTGCATCCCAGGCAGTAGTCTAAAGCTACCTCCTCCACCTCCTCCACCCTGAAGATTTCTTACACAAGTCTGAGAGGCACTAACTATCAGGGAATTGTACTTCATTAAAATTACAGACATCTAAACATCACGACATCATAAAAAGAGCAGAACAATGGACAGGGTGAAGATTTCCAAATGATGCAGTTGACCAAGTTTCCTATTCAAAATGTACAGACCATTAGAGAAGAGTTGAATAACCCAATTAGAAAATGGACAGATGACTTGGGTGGTCAGCTGGTGTGAGAGACCATCCAGGATCCAAGTGAGCCTAGGAAAAGGGGTTGGATCACAGGCCTGGGACTGCGACATAGCAGGGTATGCCTCTGCCATTGGGTAACGGCATTCCATACAGGCTCCGGCTGAAGTCCCAGCTGCTCTGCTTCTAAACCAGCTCCCTGCTAATGTGCCTGCAAAAGCAACAGAAGATGGCTCAAGTCCTTGGGCCCCTGCACCCACATGGGAAAGCCAGAAGCAGCTCCTGGCTCCCAACTTCAGATAGGAGTAAATCCACAGATGGAAGACGTCTGTTTGTTTATCTCTGTTTAGCTGCAAATCTGCTTTTCAGATAAATAAATAAATCTTTTTGAAATGAATCTTTTAGACTTCTGAGGTGGGCTGTTGATGCAGTGGCTGAGTTGACAGTTGGGACTCCTGCATTCATTCCATGTCAGTGTGCATGATTTGATTCCAGGCTACTCTGCTTCTGAGCCAGCTTCCTGCTACTGTGTACCCCGGGAGGCAATGATGACCCAAGGCGTTGTGTACTTGCCACCCTCATAGGAGACCTGGGTGGAATTTCTGGCTTCAGCTCTGGCTAGTAACAGGATGTGAGAACTTTTTTCTCTCTCTGGCATGGACTCCAGAAGGAGGTCCTGGGATTTTCTAGTTGAGAATCCTATTGTTAACCCCTGTCTGCTGCAAGTGTTTGATCTGTAGACATTGAACGGAAACATGGAGGCTGCGTATTCTGTGC